TTTTTCTCTGGGGGCAAAAAACGAATGCAATTGCCAAATTAGAAAAAAAAAAAAAAAAAGATTGTAAAAAATTGTCCCTTTTGCGTATGTGAGTGAGTATGTGAAATCCTGTATAAACAGGTTGGTTTAGAATTAACATGGTGAGCCATAAAAAAACATACCTTGGTATCTAGCATTATAGCAATAACCTTCTCCTCAAATTGAGAATTGTATTCGTTGACCAGATCTATGGTTTTCCGATGTGATGCATGGTCACCATGAGACATATTTAAACGTGCCACATTCATTCCAGCTTCTGCCAGTTTCCAGATCATTTCACGTGAGCTGGTGGATGGACCGATAGTGCAGACTATCTTTGTTTTTCTTTGAGAATTTACACGAACCCTCGGCAGCCGGAAACCATCATTGCTAGACTGAAATTTAAAATAATTTCATGTTCCTTTTAGGATATACTTCATCACATTAAAGATGGAAGGCATACAGTGACTGACAAAAGAATGAAATAATCGAAAAACCAATAGTGTTTTCTTTCGTTTATAAATCCGAAGCACATTGCTAGAGAACTTCTTTTCGATAAAAAGAACGATAAATATGAAAACGAAAAATGTATGTTTTCTCCAGCAAGCAATGAATAAACAAGTGATAGACAAATAGCTAGTTCATTTCAACAACTCTATTATAATAAGAGAGATGAATCGATCGAACATGTTGCTGAAATAATCTCTTAAAATCCAAATAAGACACCAAAGCAGACCACGTTAAGTGGAAACCGGATAAGACTTTCCCTTCATCATGACGAATATGCCTTCCATACTAGTTATCAGATTAATGCAAATTAGGTTATCTTTCGATTCAGTAAACATGTTTTTCCCAATTCAAAATTCATATATTAGTAACAATACCACTTAACATGCATTCCCCAAAATGTAAACCAAATAGTGAAATTTCTTCAAATCTAACGTCAAATCAATCAAAACCAAACAATTTGAATCCGAAGCCCAAAGCAACAAGCATCACACAAATCCGATTCTACAGAGACGGCAGAGTATCACACATTCACATCTGAAAGAAGTTGCACGAATAACTTACAGCGGATATTGCAGAGCCGTTTGGCCAGAACGTAGTATCGACGGCACTAGATTCAGCGCCGCCATAGCTGCTGCTATTGGTAATCCTGGTTGATCTAGTAAGGCAAACTCTCTGACGGCTCCTCCTCGATTCGCATTTGATAAACAAGCCACTGATATTCTTCGCAGAAGAAAGACGATCGACTTGAGAAGCGAAAGCAGGCGTCCCACTCGGCAGATTCGTTATCGCCGCCATTGTTGTGAGAAAAAAAAATAAGTTACAGTGAATATCTGTGTGTAGCGGGGCGTGTGGGGGTGTGAAGGAGAGAGAAGGAAACACAGTGGTTCAGGAAGGAACAAGTGTAAAGGAAGAGAGAGAAAGAGAGAGAGAGAGAGGAGAGAGAGAGGAACAAGTGTAAAGGGTAATTAATAATTGTAGCAATCAGAAATGAACTGACTGACCGAGTCTGCGGGGGATCTCTCTGTAGTCCGGTTTGCACTTGGCAGGGTTTTTTCAGGGTTCGGGACCATCTTTTTTTATTTTATGGAAATTACTAAACAGTCCTAACTAAATTCTCTTGCATCCAAAAAATTCCAAAAGTTATTTTAGTGGGATATTCTTCTAGATTTTATGTAGAATATTCTCCAGTTTGTTCCCGGTTTATCTCGTTCGAGCTCCATATTTTGAAATAAGATGATCATAAGATGTGTCTTTTAACTTGTAAATATCAGATTGTGGTGCATCCGAAACTGCATTTTTGCACAAAATAGAGTATAAACTAAAGAATATTCCACGGAATGTAGAAGATTATGTTGTATTTAACACCATAAGGGTGGATGTGTAAGAATATTTACAGTTGAAGGGGTAGTTGTAGACTTGTAGTTACCCAAACATGTGGGGGTTTTTTCATAATTAGACCTTACCTCATGAGGTGGCCGTAATATACCCTACAAATTTTAACGATGGATTAATTAATTTACTTTTTTCTAGTTTTCTCCAAATTATCCTTGAATTATTTCGAAATCAAACTTCGTTAACAAATTGTGTAACTAATAACGAGAAAATTAGTGAACGATTTATTATCTTGTCATATATTTTTTAAGGGATTATTTGACAAAACCCTCCATTAGACATCTGCAGTTGCAATAAACCCAAAAAAATTTGCATTTTTAAGATAAATCTAAAATGTCTTGCATTAATAAAAAGTAACTATATTTCACTATTATACCATTAATCTATGCGATATTTTGGAGATCCCCCTCATATTGAAAATATATATAATTAACCACCATGTTGTTTACACCCTAGTGCAAACCTTCTTCCATTTGGATAATAATTTGACATACCCCCTTGGCAGATTTGAAGTACCCATAATACTCGTTTAAATTAGTTTGAGACACTAGCCAACTCATATCGATCTCTATCTTCCTCTCTCAACTCTCAGATCCAAATCCCGCCCATCAAGGTCTCTAACCGGTGATGTTGCTTCCCGGAGTCATAATTCTCTGTCCGGTGGTGGAAATACGATGGTTTAACTACCGTTGGATTCCTCTCGTCGAGCTCTTTCTTTTGGTGGTGATCTCATTCAGTTTGGAGCATTGGGTCTGTTTCTACAATTATTTTTCACTCGGCGCGTATTTCGACAACGGTGGGTCTTGCCGAAGGTGTAATTTGTGTTTCGCCAGTCAGAATTTGACGGGCTGCCCACCGTTTGATTCCTCTCGTCAAGATCTATATTTTGATGGAAATTTCGTACGTTTTTATATTATCAAGTTTATTTCTATATTTTTTTTTCATTTGTGAGCGCGGAACCTTGGGTGGTTAGTGGCGGCTAAGGTTTTGATAAAAGGCGCTTGGCGTGAGGAATCATTGGCAGTTTGGTCTAAAATTCGCAGCATTTCGCAGCTATGGCCTCTCTCTCTCTCTCTCTCTCTCTCTCTCTCTCTCTCTCTCTCTCTCTCTCTCTCTCTCTCTCTCTCTCTCTTAGTGTTTGTTGATTTTTGAGTGTTTTGATGTTTCTTCTATTTTTGTTGATTTGCACTAAAATAATTTTTTTTTGTCTTGATTTTGTAATTGCAGCTTAATGAAAGTCATTGATCCTCTCCTTGAAGGTGTCAAAATTTTTGGTTGAAGTTACATCTGCTTCAAATTACAGTGTTCAACATACTGTATACATTACTAGTTACATATAGTAACATGTAGTTATATATGCATATATTTGTGTATTTTCGATTTATATTTTATTGGTACTGAGGTGATTTATTATACAAATATTTGTGTAAACAAGAATTAATATCTTTAATAAAAAAACCAGTTCAACAAAAGTCTCAAACTAAAATATTAACAAAACACGCTAATTTCCACCAACCAACTTCACGTCAATGACCTTTTTGTCATCAATGTACTAATATAATATGATCTTTTTATATCAAAATATGAACCCTCGCTCGCATATACGGCGAGTGTAGCACATGATCGGTTCGCATGGGCCTTAATGCCTTCGATTAAATTTTATGGGGAGTTTTGCTAAATTTTTTATACAAGGGTTTATGTGGCAATTCTAAATTACATAGGGTGGTGCTTGCAAAAAACCCACATTCTAACACATTTATTGAAGGGTTAATTAGGAAGACCCCCTCAAAACACATTTACATTTCTCCAAGCCCATTCTTTTTTTGCATCTTAGCAAGAGCCCCTGATTTTATATTTTGATTATATATAAATAAATTCTTTTGCAAGTTACACAAGATACTCTCATATCTATATTATATATAAAACTAAGATACACAATAAAAGTTATTCACTTGAGGAGATTGAGTCCACATTATTTTAAAAATTTCAAAATAACCCCACTTACCATATTCACCCATATTATTAATGAATTAATTTCACATTATTGGTTTTTAAATTTTATCTCTCCTACATGTCAAAATGATGTCTTTTTATTGGTTATTGAGTTTCCTTTTTTAATCCATTGCTTCATATTAAAAACTTAAATATATAAATGGACATTCCACTTGATTTGGGTTAATTAAATTTTATGCACAATATTATATTAATTGCTAAAAAAACCCCAATTATCATAATCATACATATTATTAATTAATTGATTTCACTTTATTGGTTTTCAAATTTCATCTCTCCTACATGTCAAAATAGAGTCTTTTTTATTGGTTAATGAGTTTCTTTTTTTTTCTAAACAATATTTTGATTAAAAAACGTAGAACTTAAATGCAATTTTTTTTAATTTCACAATTGAGTAAATTATAAAACTAAGATACACAATCAAAGTTTTCTAATTGAGGACATTGAGTCCACATTGTATCATTATTTTCAAAAAAACCCCAACTTCCATAAACAACCACCTAATTATCTATTTATTAAAACAAAAAACGTGGTTACCTAATTTGAATTGCACACATGGACAATTTGTGCATTTTAATTGGTTGATTTTACCATTTGGCAAACTATCCAAATATACAAAAAAATAATAAATCCAAATTTCATACGTGGACAAATTATGCATTTTCATTGGATGATTGTTTTCAACTTTTAATTTTAATTGCACACATGGACAATTCGTGCATTTAATTGGTTGATTACATATTTATATTTAATTTATTACATCTTATTCGCATATCTAATATTATG